TGTTGTTTTGTTTGTTTGCTTTTTTGCCAGCAACCGGGCGAAACCTGATTCCAATCAGACAAACGAGACAATTGGGTTAATATCGTTGCATTTCTTCAGTTTTACTTTTACTACTGGAATGGAAACGGTAATAGTATACGCGTAGTATAGTATACGTAGAATAGTATGCTAGAAGCTTTCATGTTATATAGTTATATACACGTACATGTATACGTTACGTACACTCGTAAGTTATATGGAGTTACGTTACTGATAACTGAGTTATATGGAGTTACGTTACTGATAATAAAAAACTACGTTTTATTATCCGGCTTCAATTTTTTAAACTTTTATGGAATAATTCAGTAATCAGTTATACTAAATTGATTGTCACAACTCACTTTTTAATTAGGTTTTATTTTTCCGAAATTAAACGTTTATATTTTTTTTCTAAAATCTTGTATTAGTTACATTACAGATGTATTTTATAACTTACATTTGTGAACACAAATGCTCCCTATAATCTTGTAAAAAGTGTTTCGATTTCTCAAAAGTTTTTGAACGTATATATTTTTTTGAAAAAATTTAAAGGACCATTATCTGACGTGTCTCATAGCAGACTAGTTTAAATAGTAGTTTGCTAATGCAAACGCCCAAGTTCGAATATTCATCATTAAATTTGTTTTTACTGTACAGAACAATACACTGCATCCAATGCCAGAAGTACCACTTCTAAAGTTCAAAAGTAATAGATTTTTTAATATACAGTTTAATAAACAAATTTCTGGAGATGGTTTAAGTATAAGGAGTGTTACAAGTAGTACGAGAAAGTATGTGCGCTTGTTTTCATTTCAGTAGATCACAAGACGAAAAAAGTGCGAAACCGCTCTATGAATTACCTTTCATTTGGAATTCGTAAAACATGCAAATCATTCACCAACCTTACATAGATGGAGTCTATATTTAATTATTGAAAGAATTTTAATGTATCGGAAATTGATGCAGTTTCCATATTCTTTGATTTAATTAAGCTCTTATTCATGTTCGTAACTCTTCATTTAGTGGATCATCTTTTATGTCATTGCCAACGTCATCGAAACATATAACTAACAGATATTCAACAGTATCATGACTTCTTCAATCGATATTGTGCTAAATGCAAACGGTGGTATTACAAAGGTTGAGAAACGGAGGTTAACGAGCAGACTTTTCGAACATCAAACGCTCTGCTTGATGAAACATAAGCCCGTTCCTGTTATCACTCTATATTATCGCTTTGGAATGATCATAATCCCTTGGACGAAGATACAGAACATTAACCGTACTCATTTCCAAAACCCTCCTCAGCATTTACTTGAATAAAATATGTATCTCCCATGCCAAGGAGCATCGCCTCGTAATCGTGCTGTATTTGCCAAAGGTTGGAAACCTCCACGTTTCATTCAACCAGGAACGGGAATTAAATAAGGATGCAGCACCGCTTTCGCGAAGTTCTTTTCATTACTGTTCCGCTGCTCAGGAAAAAGTCTCAACGGGAACGACGACCCTGGCTGCTTTTTGGAACAAACGACTGTAATTAAGCAAATGAATCCGTGGCTTTTCGTGGTGGATTGTATGCTAAATGCGTCATTCTTAAGTTTCTTGTGGTCGAGAAAAAAACAAAATGAAAACAAGTGGGTGCAGAAGGAGTAAGAGAGATTACGTTTGGGCACATCTGTGAGGGTAATTTTTCAAAAATACTTATGCGGAGATAATTTTTATGGAGATAATTTTCAAAAAATCCGTCGCAGCTTTTAGGAAACATTGTATACAATTTGTATCATTAAAGTCATTTTTCTAATTGGTTGATGATCATGTTGATATTTATAATCCCTGGAAGAAAATAAGACAGTGATATTAAAATAAAGATATAAAAATCCATATCAAATGATATAATACACAAACATCCCGTTTTAATAGGGGTCACTGGCGTCAATGAATACCTAAATTCCAATGATTAAAATATTAATAATAAGTTTTCAGAAATGCATGTACTTCAATCAAGTATTTAATTTTGCAGTCGGGGAGCACTTCACTTCCCAATTTATAATATAACATGTGTTGGGTTTTTATTACTCGTGAAGGGTTGTAGAGGTTTGACAGGTATCATCTTCAGTAGAGTACATTTTCATGAATTCTCAGCAGATGAATATTTTTATTTTGATACTGATTGTAAGCGCACAACGAATATCTCCAATTGATTTTGTTTAATATCGCCTTCTAAGTATAGACGATTTTCCCTATTCACTCTTTCCTTACATTTATATCAAAATTTAAAATTTCAACTGGAACTTAATGATTTTTTTTTCATAAAATGTGAAGGGAATGCGAAACACTCATCTAGTTCAGTGAATAAAACGCAGGATTCTTGCGAAAAAATAATGTAAATTTGCCTCATCTTTACTACCTTTGCTCAATTTATTCTAAAACTATGTAATTTTACTACTATTGTAAAGCAAAACATATATTTCACTTTATAATATTTAGTGCCTTTTCACTTGCCATTCTAAGCCGCAGAAATTTAATATGAAATATTCTCAGCAGGAGATCATTTCATCTGCGTTTCTGGCTGATATTCTATCATGGGATTTTTTTATCGATATAAATCTAATGCATCGGGAAAATGTAGCTATTTAGTCACACATTCATTTGCATATTTATAATGACACTCTATATCTATCTCTTTTATGAACACTGATTAACTTTTCGATGCGCAAAATGAAAAACGGCTTCACAATAAAAACAAAATTATTAACGATTGGAGATATTTTGTTATAACGAAGTCACAGTACAACATGCAACTCTGATTGAAGACTATCCAAAATTGTTTAGAACATGATATTCGGTCATGTGCATACTGGCTCTAATTTCCACTCATGTTTTGTTTACGCATGAGTGACCAACGTAATAACTGAAAAGCCACAAGATAGATTCAATCGTTTCCAGGACTTTTTCAAGAAATATTTCATTTTACTTTTAAATTTTATTTTCTCAACAATCGATATTAACTTATGACTATTTTTGAGTTTTTTTATTTATTTATTTTTTATAAAATTTGAGTAATGATGAGACAAGAGACGACGTAATGAATTAACCTGAAAGTGTCAGCGCGGGTGTCTGAGTCACCCTCGCACTGATTCGGAGCCAACCTTACTTCGAGATAAGTTGATAATTTTCAAAACTCTCAATACCATTCGAGAAAATGTATATGCACATAAGTGGCTGCTTATCTTTCAACTGTTTCCGGCCCTCTCCAAGGCATTTTTTCGCGAAGGAAATGTGATCAGTGAGGTCACAAATTCACCCCGCATCTCTTTTGTTTACTACACCTTACTATGCCATTAACGATGCAAACGCACAGTAAGCGGTTTTACGGTAATCAGGCACCAACTTGAGGGAGAGCGTTTTAAACATATCCAAACCAGGGCGTAGAACAAACCCATTCTCGCGAGGAAGTATTTCTTCTCTTAATTGTCCTGGTATTTTGCAGAGCGCAGCGTAAATGTGATTAACGATCACGTGATCAGTAGCGGTAAAGTGTACTATATATCATGTTAAATGTTAGATCCTCTAATTGAGTAGAGTGTATTTACATTTTCATTATTTGCCCATCTATTTTAGTTTCCTCTTTCGCGTAGAGTCTTTCCATTTTTTTCTGTTTATAGTAAAATAAGATGCACTTATGATTATCACTCGTGTAAAATTGTGCAAGATGCTCTTAAATTCACTGAAAACTTCGAAAAGAAATTAATGCGAAAAATTAGATCAGTTCTGGAAAGAAATTGAACGGCGTTAACGGCTTGAGTCAGCGTAAACAATGAAAATTATCATCAACGAATGTCTATGTGCGACAGAGATACACATATTCCCATTGTACAATGGGAAGCACATTTACATTGTACTTCCCATTATTTGCACGAGATTAAGCAATAAGTTGACAAAGTTTCATCGCAATCAGGTGAACGGTACGACAGCCCATGAAATACGAACAAACAAACATTGACCTTTATATATAGGACAAGGTGCTTCTTCTTTTAGGGGAACAAGCTCATATAACGTACGTTTCGCGCTTAGGGGCGCTCTAATAGTATAATTTAGCAACATAATAATTTATAAATGAAAAGTTGCAATCACATGATACCAAATAGTTCCAACGACAGCCATGCACTCACAGCGGAGATAATGCGAGACAATGAGAGCGCACAACGATGACGAGGGAGTCGTGAAATTAACTGGACAACAAGTGTAGCTTCACTATGCACCCGTTTTGCTGGATGTGGTAGGAATCGACCTGGCGTGTTGATTGCTACTTCTGAACAATGCTATCAAATCAAATTTGATCTGTTGTTCGTTTACCGACGCAATTATACTTTCTATAACTCGAAAGCAAACATTTCTAGTTTTCAATCTTTGCTAACCTCGCTTTGTTGGTACTTACGTTTGTTATTTGCCTATGATTAGTAAATGGGTAGAGAATAAATCCCGCAGCTCAAAAAAAACGTGTACATATTATACTTATCCCTCATGCGTCACATAGTTTTTACTGATCTTCGACGAAAATAAAACAAATTGAATTACAATAAAATGAAATAAATGAACAATTAAATGGAATAAATAAAAAATTAAATGAAATAAATAAAAAATAATGTCTTTTCCGTACAAATATCGCCCCTCGCAGCCATGACGGAGAGAAGTCTCGTGACCACGTTTCGCGATCCTCCCCATTTGACGCCCAGTGGGTGAGTGGCGCGAGGGCGAAAAGTCGGTTTGCACACCTCATCCGCGCGGCCGCGCTGTCACCGCCCCGGCTTAGCGAGGCGCTCGCGGCACGCCACCCGGTGAGCTGCACGCGGCGCGCCTTCTGGCGGGGCACCGCGCAACTATCTCCCCGCGCGGAGGGCTGTCCAACTCGCGCGCGCGTTACGACTGAAGCACAGGAGGCGGACGTTTCACCAACTACATTTTATTTTTCTGTTGTGAAGTGATCTGCGACTTCACGTTGCAAATAAATATTGGTTAATAACTGAATATCCTTAAAACTGTAAATCCTTACGACTGTAAATACGAGAATGGCTGCTTCACGGGGTTGGTCATTGGAGAGAATTAGACTGTGTAGTTGTTCGCCAAAGTTGCGGAAAATATATTTCCATCATCAGCGCTATAATGTACAAGATAAATAAAAAATGCGTACGGTGTGTTGACGTGGTGTTGCATTACAAATGATCCTCGTATCACGTGCGGGGCACCACCTGTAAGAATAGCTCCTGTTCCTTGGTTTTCTGTTTTGTGGTTGCGAGGTGTTGTAATTACATAATTTTGTTATAGGTTTTTACAATACTTATATGTAGTAGATTAGGAATATATAGTTAATCAACAAGTTATTGTAGCTTTTTGACTTTGAACGAGTACATTACAGATCTGATGATGGAAATATATATTGCGTTGGAAAACGTTCGCAAACAACTATATAGTATAATTATTTCCACTATCCAAGCTCTATAATCCACCCTTCAATATTTTAAAGACAGGGTGACGCTCTGTACTTTGTCTTCGAAAAGAGAGCGCGAGTACATGCAATTAAAGGTAGAAAACTTTTGTCCTGGAATGAATTTCCACGGTTCGTACGGTTGAATTACAGTGGGACACTAAATGAATTGCTTTTTTTTAAAATTACGCACTATTCTAACATTCTCCACAGAACTATTCAAAATTAATCTTTTATTTGGAATTCAATAATGGGTACAACAATGTAATAATTTCTTCACTTATTCCTACATCGTAGTGTTCTCTTTGCAATAGTGTTTCAATTTAAAACGCATGAAAATGACTACTTGCTGCAATATGATTTCATGTATTATTTTTCATATTATTAATTCATTCACTTATTCCACTAATTGCATCTTTTTACCTAAATTGACAGTTATTTTTACACGCTTTTTGTGTTTGTCACATTTTCCATTTATATTGGAAAACACGAATTTGTTTATTAACTATTTGGAATTTATATAACTCATTGCTCTTCCAAACACCCAAATAATATCTAATGAGAACCATTTCTATTGTGGAAATACGGAACGTAATTACTCTAATGTTGATATACAACACCTTGTCTTAAATTGCATCTACATTTTTCAAACGAATGCTACACATTATTGAGCTGAACAAATTAGTTTGTACTTACAATTTGACATTTATTTTTCAATTCATAGAACTTACTGGCTGTAAAACGTTACATCAGAGATGAAATGGATTAACCCATTAGTGTCCAGCGTTTCCATCTGATAACGAAAATTCCGGCAACGGGGCGGGGAGTTGTCTGTGCAATAATTTGCGAATTTTATTTCTTCCATAGAAGTAGGCATCCCCAAACGAAACATATAAGCAAGTTTTTTCACTCCTGAATGCGAGATATCAATTTAGCCGTGAATGCTAAGACATTGTATACCCTTGACCAGGATGTACACACGACTTGCGTTGGTTCGAATTTTCATCTAAAACCGTGCTTAGCTGCTATATGCCTGTCGTTAAGTCAGAGGGACAGGCCAGTGTAAAGCAAACGGTGGGCACTAATGGGTTAAAATAGTTAATAATGCTGTACCGGTAAGAAAATTGTATCATTCACCCCGTAATTCATTTCCCCTTTTTATAATTTATCAATATATTTGGTTCACATTCGTAATATTGCTAGATGTCCTACAGAAAACATAAAATGCTGTGTGGCTATCATTTCTCTCGATGCTAAATCGTAGTAGTCGCAATATTCAGTATTCTTATTATTCCTTTCAAGTTAATTGTAATACAATATTAATACTATCTATTTTCGTACATTTATGCTATAGAGCAAATATTGTGTTGACATGCTCTGTAAATCCAAAGTAAACACCAGAAAAATAAATCCTTTGAATTTATCGGATTTGCCATTCCAACGGCTTTTTTGAAGATGCTTGGTCATCACGAGCAGAACGTTTATCGTTTTTCATAAAAGTGTATATATATTTTTACAGTTTTGTCAATATTATGTCAATCAAGTACTTTTTGCCAGTCTTTTGAATTCGATATTTTATAACTGATATTTCTGGAAACAGTAGTCCCTAATTATTATTTCGTTATAACTAGAATTGCACTAAAATTGCATTAAAATCACTAGAATTGCATTAAATGTCTTCAGTTTCTTAAAGGATAAAAACATTTTAAATTTAATTGTTTGTCGCCAACTGTTTACAAAAAAGGAATATGTGGTAAGTGATTTCTTATATAGTAATCTATTTTAAGGATAAAATTTTTATGCGACAATTATTGTAAACCCTCAAGACGTTTTACGTAGTGCCTAACAATACGGGAGTCTATGAAGTAGGTTTTACTTGGTAAGGCGGCTCCAAACAAGTTCAAAAACATTATTAGAAAACGAAGCATAGTGCTGAGCAGCTAAAAAAATGAAACAGGGGGTATATGCGGGATCGGCAGAGCTAATAAGAGGATTGTAGGGATAGTACGGACATTGAAGGACAGACAGCATAATTAGCGAGGATGTGTGACGATTTGCGGATAGCGGAAAGAGAGATGAATATGTGGGGCTACAGAGCGGGGGAAATCACGTTGAGCGTTGTAAACGGAGAGGGGGATACCAAAGTTCGAGGCGAGGAGAACTGTGATTCATTGATGTTTCCGAGCACGTCAATTGCAGTCCTCAGTATTCCCGTTTGCGTAGTCAATGTTTTATCGCGGAAGGTGGCGAGGCCTCTGCCTTGCTGCAAGATTAGGCATCGACCTTCTCGTCAGCTTGGGAGGGATTCCACCTCCAAGTATCTCCCCGGAGGGGCACTGCCCCAGTCAGGACAAACTAAGCTTCCGACTGGTCTCTAGACATGCAAATGTAGTGCATGTACGTGCGTATGTTTGTGTGTATGTGTGAGTGTAAGGGCAGGGGTGAGGATAGGACGAGCAAGAGGAAGGGAAGATCGCGCGAGATCCGTGGCCCGTTCGTTAGGGTGGTGCCCCGGCATTCGCTAGTATTGATTGGATAAACCACGCAAAATATCCGATCAGAGTAGCCAGTCAATGAATTTTTTCTCAAGACAACGGTTTCATTCGATAGAGTGAGAATCGAGAATCCTCAGTCGTCTGGACTCGAACGCTCGCACCTCCCGGTGAGAGGCGCTTGAGATACAGCGGAAATGCTGGCTCAGCTAAGTTCAGCCAGTGGAAGAGCTGTGTAGAGGGCGCGGAGGGGGAGAGAGGGAACCGGGTGGGCGGGGCGGTGGCCACACG